CAGGTGATTGCCTAAAGTGCGGGGTCGTCTATCTTATTACCTGCCGAGTATGCGGTGAAGAATATGTAGGTGAGACCGGACGACCATTGTGTCTACGGATCAAAGAGCACTTAGTCGGACTCACAAAACGTAAAGCATCCACTCCCCTAAGTGCACATAGCAGAGTGTCGCACGATAATATGCCGTTTGATATTGCTGCCACAATCTTGTCCTACGAGCAAGAAACTATCCCACGCAAGACACTCGAAGCATTTTGGATTACGTCACGTAATCCCAAAATGAACAAAAAGGACGAGTGCATTACCGTAATCAAAGAGTTATCACCATATCAAAGCCTCTGCGGTTTTGATTGTCAAAGTATAAACATCACAGAGAGCAAAGGCATACCATCACATTCTGCACGGCTTGACCACGAGCGGTCAGATCACTCGACTGACGTCGAATAAGGTGAGGTATGGTCTGGCTCTTTGCTGGTCTCGTGCTCAACACAGTTCAAATCGTAACGGCGAGAAGGGCCAGCAAGTACTTCACACATACGTTTTTTTGATTACAGGTTCTGAAGACGGCGTTGGCGCCGAAACGTTAGCCAACCAATAAATTGTTTGTATACCAATCTTGGCCGCCGTTCAAAAACACATATAAGATAATCAAGTCATGCCAAGATTCATAGAAGGTCGAACATGGAAGCCAGATTTTTGATATTTGGATCAGCAGCTTAGTTGACTTCTCCACATTTCTCCTGTGACCTCTTCGCTCAGCTGTTGTCGCCGATGAACCGTGAACACATCGGGTGAGGATAAGCTAATGAAAAAAAACTTCTCTGACGCTGAAAACATTGATTCACAAGTATGATCAAATAAATGTTGCAGAAAAATCAGCCCGTGCAGAAGAAGATACAGCAAACGCAGACTCACTTTTGTGGAGAGAAACATCTCGGTTTCGAAGCTCTATACATCTTTGTTTTCCCTTCCTTTTCGAGAGATCGAGCACCGACCACGTTAGTAAAACGAATGTGCCTGAAGGATAATTTTTTATGCCGGATACGTGACATTTATCACAAGTGACAATTCTCAATCACATTTACAACAACAAACTTTCCAACTGAATTCTCTCATTTTTTTGAACGGAAAGGTCAAGGAGTTTTATGGAGAAATTAACATAGGCCTGCTCCGTGAGATTGTCAAACGGATGTTGATTAATCGATTTTTTCTTGAAAACAGTATTTGATTGAAGACCTAACAGCATGTTGGAACATATAAGTCTTACCTCGTTTTGTCACCAACCCCTTTTGTAACGGCCATTCCCTTCGTGATGACCTTTGACCAGATGTGGTCAAAGTGATTCGCCATTCTTTTTTCACTATCTTCTGTCCTCAGAGAAACAAACTATATTATGTCAGCCACAAAGTTGCCGCGACGCGTCAACATGGCTATCAAATATTTCAAGAATTTCAGCATGGATTGTCATATTTGATTTTGCGAATCGAAAAGAGATACGTCGGTACAGCAGCTAGATAACCATAGGTATCTGATTTGCCGTCTTCTGCTCACGTAACCCACCCTACCAATATATGGGCTAGCAGACACAGAATGCGCAAAAAATGCAGCATTTACCCAGTCAATTATTAGTACACAGATGTAGTTTCTTTGAATTAGCAACATTCATTGCACATCGAAGTGTAGTCTACAAAGTTTCATAAAAACCCTAAATTTTCTTTTATAATTTTAGGTCGCTATCAAAAGCCAAAGCCGAGAACATTTATTACTTTCGAAGAGACAAAAAAGGAACAAAACAACCACAAAACTACTCGAAAAATCCTGTTCGGTCAATAATACGCAAAAAATTTCCTCGTCTATTTGAGTAACCTACGTGCAAATGCAACCTACGTGCAGCAGCATATGTGCACAACTACGGTCTCCAACTACGATTTGCAGCATTTTGAAACGCCTTTGTCTGTGTACCAAAGAGGTTCGCTCAGCTTCAGATAGCAGAACATGAGAAGTACTCTGCTTCGAAATCGAAGTAGTGCTTTACAATTCCCATAGATTCGTCTGCAACAGCTCTATACGAATTTTAAAAAACGTTAAAGATAGAAGATTTCTTTCTGGCTTTTTCAATACCCTGCTGGCATTCCTCGAACGCATTCTACTTCATAGTCGAAGGGGCTGTTGAATGCGTGCTCGGCTAGTTCAGTGACTTGCGGGATGCTACCAATTATCGAGTCAGCGCTTTCATCCTCTCAGATTACTCTGCTGCCAATTTATCAACCTTCGGAGGTAGGAATTTGATTGGCAGCAGAGTAATCTGAGAGTATGAAAGCACTGACTCGGTAATTGGGTCGAATTTTGTCCCGATCTTATCGTAGCGGAGCCTCATAGCACCACACCACTCCTCCCTACGAATCCAAGGAGATAGGATCTATCACACTACTCAAAATTCAAGGGTTTTTAAATCTATATTAAGTTTCATGATATTCCGTACTTTACTTAGAGAATAAAAGTGAAGTGCAAGTCTATTCTCAAATATAGCCATTATGCTTGCACGCACCCTATGCATCAATTGTTTGGTCGTCAGCTAAGACCGAGATCTCGCTAAAAGCGCTACTTCTTGACTGGAAATCGACACACCTAAACAAGTTTACAGTAGGGCAAGAAAACTCAATACCTTATTTTCCTCCAGCACTCTAACTTACCAAAACCTTGAAGCGAAAAGGAGTTAATGCAAAGCTAGAAATGAAGTCTGCCATTGTGTCACAAAAAATGAATCTTCTACGGATTGCGGTCTGCGCAGAGCTTTACAATGGAATTTGCGGAAATTTGGAAGGTTTTTAATAACCAAGGTGCTGGAAAGAAGATCTCTTAAACAAAAAAGCATCTATTGATTTTTTCCGAAGACTAAAAGAATCTTTTGTAGGTTTTTGAGCTTGCAAAAAGAAGTTTAGAGGAGCAAGATCTAGTGCTCTTTCTGAATTCCGCTAATTTCCTAGATTCTACACTTCTTAAAGTGCCATCTTACCATGTATTGTCGGGTCCTTCGTAACTCATGTGTTAGCTTGCACATAACGCGAGCTCCTTATCAGCAACTTTTCAGTTAAGCCTCTTGCAGCGTACAAATTGCGAAATTGTGTACTATACTGATTCATATCCTATCGAACCAAAAGAAGCAAGAAATTAAGAAGAAAATGGGATTAATAATACAAGTTCTTTACGTAGCGCCGTGCATGGTGTGCAGGAAGCATATTAAGGTCACAAAATTCGAGGATACATACTCCTAACTTTAGACAATAAATATGAGATGGCCTTAATCTGAATGCCTGAGTTTCAAGGCTTTGACCATACATTACCACTGCCCTCCAAAAAATGAGACTGTGTAGGTGATCATTTCACTACACAGGAGCAGTTAAAGCGGTAATATTAGGGTGAACGGTGAAAATGGGACACCTTGAGAATAATTGTAAATTTTTCAAGAGGGAAAAGCGATTAACTTTCTAATTTCGATAGATATCAGAGTATATTATTCTCTTTTACGCAGAACCTGTATAAGGTCATTTACATACCTAACAACTTTTATACTTGTTGAAATGCAAAGTTAATCACTTCGACAAATTAGGAATATGTAGCTTTATCTGCGCAGTTAACATGCGGAACCATCCAAAGGACCACTGCTGCAATGGGTGAAGCTACAGTCACCGAACCCACTTGGCTTGCTGGCAGTAACGCATGTGGTCAGTGAAAAGAAAGATGTGTGTTATTTACTTCTTTGCAAGTGAACGCATGTTTTCTGCCCACCATCTGATAGAGCTTCTTACGTCCTATCCATCCATATGCTCCTCACATTTCTCCTATTTTTAGAAATTACAGATTGAAACATGATTTTTTTGATTTTCATTGCACCAAAAATTCGCAATTTTCAAGTTTTTTGCTTTTTTATCCAAAAATAAAAGGAAGGAATATGTATTCAATAGACCTCTTGAAGGAGCGTGAACAACTCTTTCGAATGGTATGTGACTCGCTTTATAACTCTACGGTATGGGAGCGCAAGACTGCGAGATATTCAAAAAACCCTGTTCGAGTTCTTCGAGGCGCCACGGCAAGCGTTGTGGGAGAGGAGCGTTAAAGCATTGCCAGAATAATAGGCGAGGGGCGCTTATATAAGTGACGTTTGAGTTGCCATCAGCTTGCTGTTGCTCGAAACAAAAAATCCCAAAATGTAATGAAAATCAAGTAGTCCCATTTTTTACCGTTCACCCTAATATACATATTAACAACGGTAGCACGAGTAACTCTAGTAACCCAAGTAACACTGACAGCACTGGTAACACAGGTAACACGGGTAGAGTATGGCCAAAGCCTGAGGCTTTATTTGAACTGTCGTAATCATAAATGAGCGGTCGTCAGACTTCGCGTTTCTTTCGTGCCGCCGGGATCTGCAAGAATTTTGAGGGAAAGCAGCCCTGCATTATGACCGTAGTATTGAGAATTGCTCACAGGTCATCAATTTTTCTTTATTGGAAGAACCAGATACAGGAGTCAGAAGAGATAGTACACATATGCTATGCGCTTCCAAACTCCTTCAAAAAATACCGGTAGCAGCTAAAAAATTATTTCATTACGCTTGTTTTGGTAAGGGAAAAAAGGACATTCCGATGAGTCCAGAAGATGCTGGATGTGCCGAGAGCCGCTTTAGTTGATCTTTGATGGTGACAGAAAGACATGTTTCCAGCTTTCAGATCTACTTAGTGGCACTCTTGACGGATTTAAAAATTGTAAATAGCTGCAGGAGTTTATCTATATCCAATTTATCTAGTGATTGAATTATTCAAAAAGATAACCATTTGCCTATCAGCTTGAGAGATTGATTGGTACTTACCATAAAACAGATTCATTAACAAATTTATTATCATTCACTATCTCAATTCACAGAGTTGGCAATGGCATAAGCATAAGTATTATACTTGTAGTCTGCTTTTGTCATAAAACAAATTGGCTCTGGCTAATTACTCAAATACCAAGAGAGTTTGTAATAATGTTGATCTGAGAGAGTGCTTGAGAGATCATTCTGGCAGCTCCTTCAGAACGGAATTTTGCGTCGAAATCGGCCCTGCCAGGAGGAAGAATGCTCCTAAAACAGCATTTGCCTTCATAGGGAGCTTTTTGAACCATCTTGCAAGCAACAAACCCAAAAACTCACAAAATTTGTAGAAAATTGTATTCTGAGCAAGTCACTTTTTCGTTTGCAAGAGCTTATTTGAATATTTCCTTATGTTGCACAAAAGCCGCACCTAAGAGTTGCCAATCCACCAATGAGGTTAGAAGTGTCCAGTGTATCAAGTCGATTTAGAAGCGATGGATTGCTAATTACTCTAGACAGTTTTGCTATCGTCTGCATCATTGCTGGCTCTATAAAATACTAACAAAATTGTTATCGTCATTAGAAGTTATCGTACCCAATGATGCTATCTCATAGTCATTGATTGGAGCATTCCTAAGATTCTGAATTCCTTGTTTCTGTCTATCCACAGCTGTACGCATAAAGTAGAACTTATCCTAAATTGAAGGTAACCATGTAGTCATACCGTAGTTAACTGATTTTTGCTTTGACCTTATCTCTATTTTTGAAAGACAAGTTACCTTAACCATGTCCAGTACTCGTGATGAAAGATCCAATCCCTGGTACAAGGTCGATGTGGGGGATCCATAACACTACAAAATGAAGCTCTTGAGATTTAAAAGTAGGTAAATAAAATCTCACTCGCCAAGAATGGCAACAAAACGAGAAGTAGAAGTGAGGGCTGCATTTTATACATTGCCGATTTTTTTCACCCTTTTATGCGATGATAGCAGAACGAGTTTACTAGAATCATCGGCAAAAACAGCTTATTTTGGGCGTATGATAATACCGCATTTGCGTAATCCCACAATTCTTATCACAACTTGCAAGCTATTTCAGTATTTGCTTGCAAAATATGCGAGAGTATGCAAACAGTAGTTCCTTGTTTGCGGAACCCTACCCATGCGATTGTTTTACAAAAAGATTTTTAGCTGTCAAAATCATGAATGACTTTACGAAAATTAGCAAAAATTCAATAGGTGGTGCACATACGGATATAACTATTATGGATCCATGTGGTATCTGTCATGGCTATAGTACAATTCTGCTCATAATTTGTTAAAAAAGTTACCGAGTCCCGCCAGAGTTCACTGCAATTTGCGGCGCATCGCCACATCTTGGTTCGGGGTAGACGAATTCGGATTAGAAGTACCCCTCTGGATGGGACAATCGCCCGAAAAAGTTCAGATGACTTGCTGATAGAGTAAACCTTACAGGACAATACCAAACGATTCTTTGCTTCTATCTATAGTTTGCAATAATTTTCTGATAGAATTTTTCTATTGAAACCACCTAATTTTTGCAAATCTATTCCAGCGAACATATCAAACACCAACAAATCTTTGGATCTTCAACAAAACGTCCAGTTATGGATCATAAACAAGACTAGTTTTACAAGGCAAATGAGCGTTTGCGGAGTTGGAGTATCAAATTCCAAATTTTCCGAGTGCAGCCTGAGGTGCGCTCAAAAATAAGAGTTGAGATGAATCTTTCTCCTGCCTATGTACTTCACGAAATGAAATCCAAAATAATACTTATAAAGAAGAAAAAAGCAGCATCTAATAACACCGAATCGCTAGCAGATTGATGTCCTGGCTCCGAGATGACTAAGTATGAGATTTAATAGCATCAAAAAAATAAAATTCTGAGGCAAGCTATGAAAAGAAAAAAGTTGTTTTGTGTCCTTTAGGGTTTGCTCTATTCAACGGTTATTAGGACTGCTTTGAGGAATTGGCATAAGCTAGAAAAATAACGAGACTGGACTATCTGAAAACCATAAAGCATTTTTTGATAATTTTATGCTTGAACTGCGAGAAAGGAATAATCATCTGGAAACCATGAAAAACTGCAGAGAACGCCACCTATGTCTCTTGAAAACCACTGTTCCGCCGGATGCGGCGCTTGTTCAAAATAGCTCCTCTGTTTGTGCCTGACTTCTTGGAAAAGGAAAGTAAGAGACCTGTTGTTGTTTGTATAAAGCATTCAAGCATTCCACTCAAGTTGGAGGATGACGGGATGCTGCTAATTGATAGCGGACCTCACCTCTGTTAGGAAAATGCACTGGTTGTGAGAAAGACGTTTTCGAAGCCAGAGATGCTCCGAAAAAACGGTGTTGGCTTGAATTCCGGGACCCAGTAAGTAGGCTTAACCCTTGAGTCGGTATTCACTGGGTAGCTGAACCCGCCGGTTTCCTTAACGAAAACGGTAGGCCTTTGGAATCATATTGAGTCTGGTTCTTGGGACGAAATCAAAGGGAAGTCGTATGTTGGTATCGAGATTTGACTCTGCAAACATGCTGTCTTTATTCACCATCAATTACTGCATGGATAATACGACAAGTGCAAGTTTCAAGAGCAGTGTTCAAATAAACAAGTGGCTTGGTTACACAGCACTGTCGGTCGCATAAATCATGGATACGTCAATACACTTCGCTTTGAACCTTAAAGGCAGTGTCTCACCAAAATTGAGTCGCGCGGATCTTCACATATTCTATTATAGGGACCTCTAAGTAGGCCACTGCAACAAGTCCCATTCAATTTGACCCCCTCCACGCTAAGAAAAATTCGCTCAAAGTGGTACGCGGAGAGCGACTTGGTACGCGCGGACGACTTCTTCGGTCTCCTCCAGGGCCCGGCACAGATCGTCTGGAAGCAGGCTGGACTTCGTTTTTGGAGCAAAACGCAAAGGGGATATCGTTTTTGTGGGGTCCGGGGCGGAGCCCCGGAAAAAATTTTTTGCACATGTTTGCTAGCGAGATATGTGGTGGAAATTTGTACTCTATGTGCTAGCTGGGAGCAAGCTAAAGTCGCTCATTACCATTATGAAAATAAGTATCAGCCCTTCGAAAATCATTAAGTAACACTTGGACGTTGAGTCTCCAGACTTTCAAAAGTCGTTAAGTACCCTTAGCCAACAGTTGTCACCTGGTTAATTACCATAATTCTCTTCAGTTCTCCTATATACCAAAAATAAGCGACCATCCAGTCGAACATAGGCTTTCCGGACAGGTTATCACACGATTGACATGCTCTATCGTGTACGGCGAAAAGTGCGCGCGATTTGAAAGTAAGGCTAAAATAGAAAAATTGCTTGTTTACAGCTCACACAGATTCATATGACACCAAAATTGGCCTGTACACAAAGAAAATTATTTGCGGAAGAATTATGTAAAAAGATTTTGAAACTTATGTGAAGTAATACGTTTTCCAAAATTAGATCGTCTCCAGACGGCCACCAGACGATCTGAGATCGTCTGGAGCATATATTTCCGTCACTTCACATAAGTTTCGGATCTTTTTAGCATGGACGGAAGGCCCGGTCAAGAATTTATCCCTGAGCATAGGGACAATTTCCTATTATCCCCCGTCCACTATTTTTTGCCCTATTTTCTTTCGAAATTTGCCTTGTTAGATATCGCGCCCTATCGCCAAATTCTCTGCGTCCTCTCCCTTTGAATTTTCAGTACAGTTCCAGCTTTGGTTTCGATATTGTGATGTTTTCTTTCGATCTTCCGACTTACGTCTGATTTATCTAACAATTGAATCCCCTTAGTTTTCGTTTGCTATCTTTTGTATCTCAAATCGGATCTTGTTCTCATTGTAGAAGCTGGAACTCACATTCAAAGCTTTCCATCCTTCCGAGAAGACGAAGACTTTAATCATCAGGTTGGTAGTTCTGGATCTTTTACTTTTCTATTTTCTCACAGTCATGTGTTGTATAGGGGAATGTGCGAGTCATGGAAGTTGTCTACTCAACTAACATGGATGCGGCGACATTTGTGGTGTTAGTGGATCAGGATGGTGCCGTCATAGACTATTGCAGAATGGTTCATTTTACCAAGCCAGGATTTGGCCCTCAAGCACAGTCAAAGGTCTGATACTCTATTTGGCTAGTTTACCGTTGCATATGTTATAATTCAGTTGAGTTTATGGCTTTTTTTTTCAGAAATTCGTGGAACGTCGACGTCCTCATGTAATAGCGCTGCGTGGAGAAAATCTTGACGCTAGTCTTCGGAAAGACGTACAAGAGAGTTTGTATAGCATGGTAGCTGAGAGTGATACAGCAACTTGTCTACGTTATGGACCATGAAGCTGGAAAGTCTACATGCTGTCAAAGAATCCATGGTGAGTTTTGAAGTTTCCAATTTTGGTTTTTTTACGAAATATATCTTTCTAATTTTGGTTTTTTACGAAATATGTTTCATAAGAACTGTTTGGCACACTTGAAATCAAACTTTCAGACAGGAAGAGCTAAGCAGCGTGCTTATTCGAGAGCTCATTGCTCGTGTCAATGAAGTGAGGTCGATGCAGATGAGCAAGATTTTCACGAACTTCTTCATTGTTTCTACATGGTTTCTGTTTGAAGGTGTTGAAAATTTCAATACTGCAAATGTCCTCCAATTTGTTCGCGTTCTTGGGCCACGAGAAGCAGGTCATTTTCTGGATATTCTCAAAGAGCAAGACTATTTGCTGGAAAGTCGTACAACTTGTGACACTTTGTCGCATGAGTTTGAAAATCTTCGTGAATTGCGCTCGTTTCATAAAGATTGATACAACAAGAGTGAGTTGATTTTGGAGCTAGTTACGGTCAGTTATCTTGTATCCGCTAACAGGCTGCTGAGAAAACAGAGACTTATGTGGATGTGTTTGATTGGCCTCGTGTTCATTATGAACAGGTTATAATTAGCCAGTATGTGCTTTCTTTTCGAGAATTTACAAAGTTTGCGCTATTTCGTATCCAGGTTTTAGAATTTCAAAGCCTAGATGTTGCTTAAACTCGGTCTAAGGGGGGGGGGGAGGCAAGGTGTTCGACTCACTGATGTCGAATATCATAACAATTTTAAGCGGTAGCTCCATTTTCAGGAGCTACGGTGGACGGTTCACGACCTGATCCAATGACATTCAAAGGGGACTTCGTAAAATTTTCGAGAATCAAGGGGGACTTCGTTTTCAAAAAGCCTAGAAACGGTCTCGTGCCGGGCCCTGGTCTCCTCTCTTACACGTTTGAACATGTTCCTCCACTTGGCATCCACCTCCCCTCTGTTGCTGCCACTGTGGCTGAGGCTGAAGTTGGAAGGAACAACTCGTCCACGTCGCTTCCGCAGGGCCTCCAGAAAACGGGGTTTTTGGGGACTTCATGCGATTTTAAGCCCATACAATGCTAGACAGGGTCCGACAGGTCTGCAAAATGCAAAAATCTCGGCAACTAAATTTTGGTGCGACACTGCCTTTAATATATTGAACGCTAGAAACTTATACGACTTTACAACTTTTCATGCTCCAACCAAATTTACAAGGAAAGCCTTTTTGGTCAAAGCGGTCTTTCTAGGTAACTTTACCGCTTTGTAAATACTAATAAGCAATTCGAAAACTGTCTTCGTCATTTGCCAGAAATTTTTTAGTTGAGGAGTTGGATGCACCACTGAACAAAACCGTCCATATTGCTCAAATAAGCAATCATTAATCATCAGAACATTCAATGAATACCTTTTCTCTAGAAAAATTGCACTTAACACTGCTTCATTCGAGACTGTAACAGCTGGTACCTATTTCCTGCGTTCATTTTTCGCTCCAGAAACACTCATAACCCGAATTTCCGGCGCTTAGCAGATTCCGAAAACAGATTTGGAATTAGCTTTAAAACTCTCTTTGAAGTCTTCTTAAAGACACGGCTCGGCACAGCGGGCAACGGTTAAGCTGGACATCGCTTTTGGGACAATAAGCAAAAAAGGTATCGTTTTTGCGGTCGAAAAGACATTTTTCAACCAACGTCTCGTTATTTGAGAGGTTTTTACGTTTAGGGTTTGGGGTCATAGAAAGTTGTACGAAATTCTCAGAATCGAAGAAAATTTCGTATGAATTTTCCTTGGTGCCAGCTCATGCCGAGCCTTAGTTAGAATCATTTGGAAAGTCCACTTTGATTGAAGAGCCTTTCCTTGTTGGTTGGCTATAAGGGACAGGGCTCAGCACGAGGTGGCTTTTTCATTCTTCCGAAAACGAAGTCCCCACTGACTTCGCAGCTAACATACGACATCCCCTTTGACCACTAATGATTAAAACAAGCAAAACGAGCAAAGAAGAATACAAGTGGAAAACGAAAGAATACGAAATTGACGGTAAGAACAAATAATCGTTTTCGTATCCGTCAAATTGGCGGCATACTTTGTCCATCGAGCACCATCGCGCGCCTGGAGCAGCATTGCCGCCGCTACACAAAATTTTCGAGGGTAGTAACTAGGCGGGGAGCAGGGCGTTTGAGGTGCTTCAAAAACTGGTTCGTAGGGATTTGGATTGAAGAGCCTTTCCTTGTTGGTTGGCCGTAAGGGATAACCAGGGATTTACAACAAAACCATGTAAAAATTTTGAAAAAATTATGTGGAGGGAGTAAAATTTATGACTTTTTCTTTTACAGCCACCTCAGGTGGCTGTCCAGGTGGTGTTTTTTAGGAGTTAGATGGCTTTACAGCCTCCTAACTCTTAAAAAAGTTTGCCACGACTTTAGTTCACATAAGTTTTTCATAATTATTTATACGTAATTCCACCTCTCCCATTGCCCATCTGCAAACCGATTTTGGTGTCATATCATTTCCTCTCCGCTGCAAACATGGCTTTTGTCTACCTCGGGGCGTATTTTTAAATTCCCGCACTTCCACGGATAGCATATTGGAGCGGGAAATTGCTGGTTTTGCAAAGAATGGAGTTCTACAGGCAGTGCTGAGCACTTGTGACGTCTCCAGAAGATGGATAGGTAAATTAGAAGCGGGGAAGAGGGTGCAATTGTGTGCTCCGCCAAGGACCGCGCAAAAACGATATCCTCTTTGCTTCCTACTCCAAAACGATATCCAACCTGCCCGGTAAGCCACCTGTGCCGAGCCCTGATAAGGGGTTCTCATGGACAACTATAGAGCTTCAACTGCAGTGTCGGATGCATCAGCCTCTCCCTCTCGATCGATCACTTCGCCTGGAATCTGCACCTCTTTCGCAAACAAGCTCTATGATCACTTTCCCGTGCGAGGGTGGGAAAGGAAGCCCTCAATCGATTGGAAATGATTAGCGAGCATGTTCGCTGAAGAGATGCGCAGTTTCACGCGAGAGTGGAGATGCTGTGTACCTGACACTGCAAACTGTTAAGTCCTGTATGTCTGTTTGGAGTATGAACATTGAAAACGTCATATTGATTTTTTTGGCATGGAACCTTCTGCACATGACCGATTCAAAACATAGAGTATCTTCTCTAAATTTTGTACTGAATTGGGCAAAAATTGCTTCATTAGGTAAAGCGTTGCAAATCCAACAACTTTTGCGTTTTGAGCATTCAATCCTTTTTCCATCTTCTGCTATATTTCCCGTTTTCCTTCTTGTGATGATGATGAAATGTTTGAAGGACTTGTTCACATATGAGCAATCAAGACCTTATAATAACGGGTTAAGGGTTGTTTACGTGTTTTTGTGTGTGTGTCTGTGTGACCGTCTGTTACGAAATTCGTAGAGCGTGTTCCAGCCAGTGTTCTAAGCCCAAATTTTGCATAGCGCATGCTCCTTTCATGAAAGTCTAACATGCAAAAGCAGAAGTACATAGATTCGTTAGGTGGATCCCCCAGAAACTGCGCGCCAAACGGATCCACCTGGATTCTGTCCCGCAAAATTGCGTCCGCATCACCACTTTTTGCAAAGTCATGGATGTGTTTGATTAGCAAATGCGCAAACGATGGACTTTAGCCCAAAAAGTGGAGTAAGATCTGGGCCCAATAGATATTTCTCTTTAATAGTAGGCGATACACAGTGGTAATAACATGGTTTACTAGACAATACATGACGGTATACAGTAAACAGCAGAGGTTGGAGCAAGATGATCTGTAGGTGAGCGTGCCGCTCTGCAGCTGGGGGTTCCGAGATATCTCTCTTCTTCCTCTCTGTGGCATCCTCTTGTACGCGGCTCGGCGCGCTATCAGCGTCATCTCCGCTGCCTTCTGTAAACATCTGTATTAATAGAGGAACTCTTACACCTCCCCAATTTACCCTAAAGTCCTGAAGGGACTTTCAAGATGTCTGCCTACCAACAACTCAACTGCTTACCCTCTGTGTTTACGCCCGCAGGTAACGGCCCAGGCTCGTCGACGGGATGATTGCATTTTGGTTTCGCGCCCATTCCAGGGCCATCCTCCAAAACGGCACCTTCTCAAGGGATTCCTGATGGCCTAACAGGAATTGCCCATGTCGGCATCGGGTGAGGGCGACGTTCATCCGGGGATCCCCAGAAACTCCGCTCCCTCCGGATTAAAGTGCGTCTTCGTTGTCAAGACGATCACGACGTTCTTTTCCCTTCCCTGAACGGTGTCCACAGTGGAGAGGTTTACGCCGACTCTCGTGACGAATTCCTCCAGTCGCCTGTATTGGTCCTTGTAGAAGGTAATGACGACGATGTCATTCGGTGCCACTCCTTTCCTGACGAGCGTGGTAACCAAAAACTCGCATACCATCTTCTCCCTTTCGTTATAATGCGAGTGGGAAGCTGACTGCACCGACGTTTCGTTGACGTCCACGAACATGAACGGCAAGTGAGGGTTCGGGAAATCCATGATGTCCAATAACTGGTGTCTGTCTGATGCGGTTACACCGCTTACCAAGGAGCCTTCATAGCACAGAGTATTGGGGAGGTCGATGAGTGCCGGGTGCGCTCGAAAGGAGGTGATGAGGCTGCGCACCGGAACGGCTCGCGCTCTTTGGAGGACGTTCATGGTACTCTGCGCGCCAAGTCTGGCGGGGTTGGCCAGTCTCGAACAGCGAGCGTACGGCTCTAACTGATGGATGTCACCAATGTATATGTGCCGGGCTCGCGGGACTCGCGCCGCCATTGCCATAAACACCGGTTCTGGAACTTGCGATGCTTCGTCGCATATGATGAGATCGAACTTGTCGAGGTAACCCTTGAACAGGCCGTCCGTGTCCGTAGTATTGAGCAAAGATGCTGTTGTGATACAGACGATCTTGGGGTCCATACGACGGAACATGATATCCACCATGTCTTGTAAGTTTCGCGAGACGTCCTTTTCCGCCAGCATGAAGTCTTCCCTTTCTTGATCCGTCAGGTCGGTGCGTCGCTCCCTCTTGTACCTTTCGTATCGTATTCGTCCCTGCGTGAAGATCCGGCACGTCTCTTTCTCCCTCCTCGTGAGCTGTCTTTGGAACACCGTTCCGATCATCTTCAAGATTTCAGGAAGGTCCACGGCGGTTGTCGGCGCGTCCGTGTCGAAAGCGATGGCTTCTGCTACGAAGCGAGTCACTCCAACCTGCTGCGCCTCCCCGAATTCGAGGATGGTGTTCGCGAACTGGGCTACGGCGGTATTGGTGGAGGCGGTGATGATGACCCGTTGTCCAGCGAGAGCTTGGCGTATGGCCACGCAGGCGCCAACAACCGTCTTGCCTGTTCCAAACGCAGCCTGAATTGCTATTAGTGGATATTTGCTGTTTCCCAGTGCCAGTGCTTCCTGCTGATCGCGCGTTAGCTCCAATCGGCGGCCGTGCAGAGTTATCGAGTCGATGAGTGGTTCGTCTTCATCTCCTTCCGCTTCTTCGGCCGTTTTACATCCTAGTTCCTGTGCTCCGTATGCGATGTCAACTACGCTAACGTCGGTTCCGCCTTCCTCCAAGTCCTTGTATATCTCCATTCTCGAGACTGACTCGAACGCCGGGTTGGCGTTTGCCGGAGTTCGGCCTAGCTTGACGAAAAGGTCCAAAAATGCGGTGTTTCCCACTCTGCGGCCGACGTTTCTGATGGCGTTCCTCAGCACCTGCTCCATCTGTGAGTAAGTGGCAAGGGTCACTCGAAGCTCTCTGGTTTCTTCTTGGAACTCAACTTCATCTACCTCAAGTTTGGTGAACCACCAGACGTCCATGATCCACACTCCCACGGGACGATGTTTCGTCCATCCCTCTATTGATGACATGTCTTGCACTGTGAGCTGCAGTTGGAGCGGGTGTGACGATACCGACGGAACCGTAGCGGTGACTCTGTGTGTTCTGTTGTCATCGTCAAAAGTTTACTACATAACGAAAACGGCGCCAAAAAGAATTGGTTGCGTAAGTGGTCAATTTGTTATGGTTCTAGCCAAGCATTTCAGAAGATTTTCGCACAGAGATGTAGCTCACGATTACTACTGCCTTTATGGCGACTACCAAACCATGACAAATTCAATAACCTGTTCAAATTTGCGTTTGTCTTCCTGTGAAAAGTTTCATCCACGCGAAATCACCGATCTCACGTGAAAAAGCTCTTCAAATGATTAGTTGTTTACACATTTTATTCGTAGTAGTCGGCATAGCGCGGTAAGTTCCAGTGCCACAATTCTACGAGAATGAGTAAGGCACATAGATAGTAGGGCCAGTGCGAGCCTCTGCGAAGCAGAGGTGACGCACTGGTTAAAATAAGTCGATAGGGTTTTGAAAAGTGTTGTGCACTCGCACAGAAAATTTGATTGATCATTGTGCTTCTTATATTATCTTTGCTTATCATATCCCCATGTACTGTCTTATCTTATCACTACGTGGTTGTCTGGGTATATGCGACCATTGTTGTTCAATATTTGTTTTTGGATCTTGCTGCTTGGGACGGGACCTGCCCTCAATCCCCGAAGACTGCTTACTCATGGGGATCATCCCCCGCGGGCTGCAACGGAGAGGCCTCAACAGTCTGCACGCTGCACATCCGAAGCCATTAGCATGAAGATGCTCACCCGCAGTCATGTTTATTGGCCATATATCGATCGAGATATCGAACTTCTCGTTCGTTCCTGCAGCAGCTGAGCTTCAGCTTCGAAAGACCCAATTAAATCGGACTTACGTTTTTGGAAGGCCGCTACCAAACCGTGGAGCCGCATTCACATCGACTTGGCCGGACCGATGGATGGACGCACCTACATAGTCGTGGTGGACGCCATCTCAAAGTGGCCGGAAATCATTGAAATGCCCAACGTCACGACCGCAGGAACGATCCGGGAACTCAAGACACTGTTCAGCCGGTACGGAAATCAGGAGGTCATCGTTTCCGACAACGGCAGCCAATTCACATCAACCGAATTTTATGCATTCTGCGACTCTAGAGGCATCAAACACCTTCGGACACCTCCCTTCCATCCGCAGTCAAAAGGGCAAGCCGAGAGATTTGTGGACACCTTCAAACGCGCGCTTACCAGATAGAAGAGGGAGGAGACGCCAGTCGACGCACTGCAAACTTTCCTGAAGAACTGTAGAAGCTCACCGTATCCGAATCTCGATGGCCGTCTCCCGCTGAAATGTTCATCGGACACAGAATCTGCACAATTCTGGACTTGCTACACCCGGCGGACCAGAAGCAGGGATCGCGAGACAGAAAAATGGAGGAGCAATTCAATCATCACCATGGAACCACGGTAAGAACTTTTATTCCAGGACAACACGTCTGTGTAAAAGACTACCGAACTCCCAATAAGGCTACTTGGATTCCTGGAGTAATTTGCTAACGGTTCGGCGACGTTACCTACTCCGTGAAGGTTGAATGTGGAACCTGGACCCGGCACGTTAATCAGATCAGACTACGGGCAACAACAGAACCCAGAGGCGAGGACTCTGAATCAAACCCTTCGTCACCATCATCATCACCGCAAGCACAGCCAGACGGATCAACAGCTCCAGCGCTCCCTGAACCACCTAGTCACTCTACTCGAACCCGACGTCCTCCTCGTCGTCTCAGTATGGACTTCCGCGCCTCTCAACCTATCACTATAACTGAAAAGGGAAGTGTTGTGCACTCTCGCACAGAAAATTTGATTGATCTTTGTGCTTGTTATCTTACCTTTGCTTAGCATATCCCCATGTACTGTCTTATCTTATCACTACCGTTGTTGTCTCATCTTATCATTTTTGATCCGTGTCAACGGGTATATAAGACCATTGTTATTCAATATTTGTTTTTGGATCTTGCTCTTCCGATAAAGGATTGCTACCGTTTTATCAGTTCTGCCATGGATTCAACAGAAAGGATGGACGGAGACTTCGTAATATTACAGTAGTAGACGGACTCGTGCTGGCGCCGTCACGAGATGGTTTTCAGGATTGTTAGAAGGTTTTTTGGGGCTGCACCCTTTGAGGAGGTCAAATGTCTTTCGCGCAAAGAACTGTCCATTGACGCGTTTTGACATGTCAAGCGCATTCGAGGTGCAGACTGGTGTCACTGTCCCGGCTGAAACTTCAGTTGCTTGCAAATGGGATAGCGCTGGGGAACTTTTCCAGAAGGAGGTCCAAAATTTCCACGTACTTTGCAACTCAACCAAAATCGGCCATGGAGATGTTTGAAAGAGATTTCGAAAATGCAGCTTGGTTACACGAAATTTTCCAAAGCGGAGTTCTCCCGAAACGTGATTGGGATTCCGGAGTGACGCCGAGCTAAAGGTTAAAACGCGTTGTGCGCGAAGTATCTGCTCCAGCCTGCGGTTTGAAATCGATGGATTTTCGATGGATCACGTTCAATTGCTGTGGATGCAAGCGATAAAAATTCGCACTTGTGGACTATGAAGCTGTAGCAATAGTTTGCAGCTCTACTGCTCTAGGATCTGACATTTCTTCACATACTGAAAGTAATCACTCTTCAGTTATCGGAAAGTTGGATAATTGTAGTGATTGAATTGTTTAGCCGAGATTGGTTTTCAATTTAGCTAATGTTTCGGCAATAATTCGGCTTCTTCAGAGCCTGAAACGGGCGAAAACAATCTACAGATTACCCGATCAAACATCTCCTCAACCCTACAAACAAAACTCGAAGCTTTCTTTCGACCGCGAGCAGGCTGCCGCACGCACAGGAATCAAAAAATCTGATTAAGATATGATGCGAGTTCATGTTTGATAGCGAAACACTCTTCTTTGCGATTCTTTTTAGGATTTCTAAAATGAATCCAAAAGGTTTCTAGAGTTTTGCGAGTGGATGTTTTAGCTTCGCGCCCTAGAATCTCTACTTTCACTCCAAAATCAACTCCTTGATGATCCTTGCACTCTGTAGGCGTCTAATGGAGTGGATCTCGCTTTACTATTAAGGTGTTCCTTGATACGTATGCTCAGAGGACGTGCCGTTTCTCCAATGTATTCGTTGCCGTCTTTTCATGATATGAGATACACAATCCCGGTACTCATGCAGTCTCCATCCCTTGGCGTTGGACATATCGGGCAGCACGGCGTAGAGCAACTGCGGTCGTACATGCGATTCCAAGCGAGGATACGTTTATTGTTCGGAGGTATATCTATCACCGAAACTGCATTGTAAAGTCCTGCTCTCCTCAGCCGCCAAATGGCGGTGCTCACTTCATCGGAGATGAGGAATATGAGGAAGGGTATCTTTTCTGCTGCGGACGCTTTTGCTTTCTCTGCAAAGCTCTCCTGTTGGCTCCTACACCTCCTACGCCACTCTTCAGTTATCGACGGTCTTCCTTCCGTTACTCAAATTTGTATACGAGCCAAAATTTCTTTCACTTTTCTTCATAACTCTCCCAGTAAGTCTTGTGGAATTTTCTTCCAGAGTTTAGATAAGCTATTTCTACAGCCGCTATTGTCGCTCTACAAGAGCATGGAGGTTGATAAAAGCCATACTTGTTGCTAAAAGAGATTTGGGGGTTCGCGGCCACAAAATGAAGGAAGTGAAGAAGTTCAATCAAAGGCAGTGGCTCGGCAAATCTCAACCTAGTCAATTTGCACTTACCTGGGGTTTTTCAACACGCTGATCCCGAAAATCCATTTTTGAAAGCGTGAAAACGGCAAAAATAAGCGTTTTTAATACCCTTCCCTTTGGAATTGGACGAGTGGAGCAAGGTCGATGACGCTAAATCGTGGCAAGACCCAATGGTTATAATGTTGTGGCGGGCAGCCTCCGATGGTGAGAAGGAAATTGCCAACTCGTCCAGATGCGTTTAAGATTGGCCTGCGCGTGTAAGTTCGAGAGCGATGATCTCGGCAGGAAAAGCATGCTGTGAAACCGGGACGCACTGTTTTAATACTTGAGCGGTAAGGAAACTACCGCGTTAAAATCCTAAGTTGTTGGATTTTGCTGATCCACTGCCTTTAAAGGCAATGGCTCGGCAAATCTTAGCCTAGAGAAATTCTCGCTCACCTGGGGTTTGTCAATGCGCTGATCCCGAAAATCGACTTGAGAGAGCTTAAAAATGGCAAAAACGAGCGTTTTCCAATGCCCTTTGCTTTGAAATGGGACGCGTGCGGCACGGCTGAAGACGCCGAATCGTTACGGGACCAAATGATTATAGCATTGCGGCGGGCAGCCTCCAACGGTGAGAAAAGCGTTGTCAACTCGTCCGAGTGCGTGTACGCGTGTAAGTTTGAGAGCAGTTTTCTCGGCGGTGAAAGCATGTTATGCGACTGGGATTGTACTGTTTTCATACTTGGGTGATAAGCAACCTAGCACGTCAAAATCTTATGTTGCTGAATTTTGCCGATCCACTGCCTTTAAGTACGTGATGTCTTTCACTGCTACATGTATGCCGCTGGAGTCGCGTCAGAGTGTTGGTATGATGATATTGATGCATCAACAAAGATTGGTGTAATTCCCAGCAGAGTAGCTTTTAGTGACTCCACAATTGCAAAAAGCGTCGCTATACTCATCACGTAATGGCATGAATGGCGTAATGGGGGGCATATCGCTCAACAAGCAAGTGTTCATTTCTACTTTTTGCAATTTTGTAACAAGCATACACATGGTAGCGTTAAATGCTTTATGGGGTGCATCAGTACTACCATTGAAACCAGGATCCCACGCAAATGGATTGGGGGGACGGATGTGCTAAATATATAAAACTACATAACGCTCAAATGGTGCTCAAATGTTACCGCTCACGCTGAGTGCTCTTGATCAAAATGTCTGTATTACTTTTCATACATCATGATTTATTGCCCAATAAAAGTTAGCCAGGAT